CCCTAGTTATTTCACCAGCCATGAGCGCATCCTGCCCTAGCCTCGAAACTCACCGTTGCCGAACATAAACCTGCCACGGAAAATGTTACACCTATACAGCCGTGCGAAGAAAAAACGGCGTGTAAAAATTCGGATGTTGCCACACTTCCAGCGATAAAATGTATATATTTTTAGGAACTTCGTGAGTATGTTTCCTCGAAATTTTCAGAAAGTCAAGATCAAAGTGTAAATAAAATCCTGTATGAATTTGGAGGAAAGATTTCCACAGGTCTCCTGAATAAATCGTGCTTTATCGAGGGAAATTTGGGCTACGTCCGAAGGCTCATACGACTTTCACAGCGAAAGAGAGTAGGAAAATCTATGGTTTTATAAACTTTTGTAAATTTCAAAAAGAGAAAATTTGAATTGGAGAATTTTTCACAAGTTCTAAAAAAATCTATTGATTATTGCCACGGGCAAGAGCCATGTCCAATAAAAATGCCCTACCACTGAACCGTTCGCCGACAGAGGGGCTACACTGGGGGAAAAAATACGACTTGAATTTGATGTTAACAAACTTTCCGCTTCAATCAATAACAATAATCGCTTAAATCAAGCAGATCACTGCTTAATATAATAAGTAACATTTTCTCTTGATTTATCATTTTTTTCTGCTCGATTCAAAATTGATTTCTTCTTGTCAGCGAATTCAAAATTTTTTCCGCTTAACTAATTTTTTCTAGCGTAAACACTTATATTAAGACCTCATGAGACCAGTGGTGAGGCGTATATTACGATGTATCGATTGATCTGTCATTTAAATCTTTGAAAAAGGATCGATAAACCGGGTGTTCGCAACCAACACCTCAATTATAGATTCTCTACCACATGCTTCTATAACGATAATCGATCATTCACACCTCGCCACCACTCGCGACCTGGAAATCGACATAGTTATCGGAAGGCCAGACTGAAGATTGTTGGGCCTTTTTGTATAAATAACTGGCTCAATTTCGTCTTGCGAAACACTTAAAAAAGGGAAGAATTGAGGTGACGATCATTAGTCCAGAGTCGGAACGGAACCTGCGAAATGAAACACGCCCCTAAAAGGAACAGGGGAGAGTCGAATTGACTTTCGGGAAAAGATCGCTACTCCGCTGAGAAAGAACAACTTAACCTCGATGGAAAACCTCTGTACATCGGCGTTTTCGGCTTATCGTGGCAGATCTTGATACCCACTCAAGCCGCCACTTGCGTTGGCGCGTTCACACCGCTGCAGGAAGTACATTAAAGTTTAGCTCGTATATATCACAGCGCGACGCGCCACGGTAGCACCCCCTTCTTCGGCCAAGGACCCTCGATACCCCGTTTTGACAAACTAATTACAGGTATGAACGTAGAATTATTCTCTTTTCACAAGTACGTTTCAATTATTTCTGGATCGTCGCTGTGTTGCCACGTGAGGAACGACCCACAAAGCGAAAAGACACCCTCCAGAAATAAATTCAAAGCGCATCTAGCCGGTTGTTACTTTTCGGCAGTATAAGTCCGTAATCGCGTATCTGGTATGCGGTGTTTGATGGTCTCCGCTCCTATTTTGTTTTCTTAAAGGAGGACAAATCAACATCATTCCTCGAGGTTTTAGCAGAATTCTCTTCCCGTAGATAAAGGAAACCGCAGCAGTTGTTCTGAGAATTGCCGCTGAGTAGTTTTCCATTTAAAGATAAAGTATGGCAGGAAGTCTGCAACGTCGCAAACCGAGATATGTGGTTGCGGACTTTTATGAAGAGGGTAAATATGAATTTGATGCACGGTTGAACGTCCGGGGGTTTGCAATTTTGATGAAGAAATAAAGAAAGAAGATAAAATTTGAATTCAAACGAACGTTTTTCTATTTCTTCTTGAATATATGGTTCTAGCTACTCTGCTGTGCTAAGGAAAAACGCCGTACGGGCCTTCAGACGTTGCCAAGTTTCCTCCGATAAAAACCGAATTTACCGGCAAAAGTGCGAATATTATTTTCCAAAATTTTCAGACAATTTTGTAGGCAATTTCATCTAATACATCTGAAAATTTCAAAAAAAATGTGCATGAATGCCGTCAAAAATACATGTTTCACTAAGGGTAATTTGGCAACTCTTGAATGTTCATACGGCGTTCTTCCTTAGCACGGCAGTGCTCTACTCGTGAGTGCGCGTAGTGGTACCTGCGACCTTAGTTGGGTTTGGTTAGGTTACGCAACTAAACTAACTCCCAGGCAAAGCGGATGGTATCGCCGGTATTTGAAGGCGCTACTCGTGAGTGCGCGAAGTAGAATCTGTGACCTTAGTTTGGTTTGGTTTGGTTACGCAACTAAACTAACTCCCAGGCAAAGCGGGTGGTATCGCCGGTATTTGAAGGCGCTCAAAGCTGGTGCCGTGCTTTTGAAGTTATTTCCCCTAAAACCTTTACAATGACGTCAATCGTTGCACTTTGACGAGTTGACACGCCTGCTGACTGTCTATGACATGTACAACAGTTTCATGTACCACTTAAAAATTACCACGAAGGAATAAATTATGGAAAATATTAAGAAAATAAAACTTTTACTAACTTTGAATCTGATAAACTGCCCAAAAGGTGAGACTGGGGCGGATAATATGCATCCCTAGATTTATCTGACGAACTCAGCTGCTCGGCGAAGTGTGAGTGCCATCTGCAAAAAGAGAAAAATGAAACAACTAAGATGAGAAAAGCATGCCCAGTTATACTGCCGTGCCAAAGACAGATTCTTATAGTAGTTCCATTTTTTCTGAAAAAAAATTTGTTTTAAAAAATTTGATGAACGTCCAGACACAGAGATTAACAACATATCAGGAAAAAACAGATAGTCACATTGAAGTCTATAAAAAACAGATTTAGCCCTTAATACGTTTTTGTCCATTCATATGAACCTTCATGATTAGAGTTCCTTCATGTTCTCATGCAAAGTTTTAAAGACAGCAGCCAGCGGCTGTGCGTTTATTAATTTCAAATGGAAATCGCATACATTTGATTCGTGGTTAGTTGAAGAAAAATAGATCGTTAGCAAAGGACGTAATTCCCATGCATGGGATTGCCACCCCGTAGAGGTCCAGTCACAAAAGGACCTTCCCTCAATACAACTGCCGCAGGCCCTTTACGCTTCCCGCTGAGAGTTAATCGCATGCACGCCGCATGATGAGGTATGACACCAACAGAGATCACAGTCACAGCCACAGCGACAGCGATTGCGGATTCTTGAGTCTGAGCGGGCGATGAATATCTTGTCTTGCGCCTTCAAACTCGTGAGATGCAACAACTCACTCATTACTGTCACCCGATGTGGGGATGGGCCTCTTCTGTGCCCTGTGTCTTTCAATCCTCGCTCCTGTTGGACCATGACGTACTAAGTTGAAACATTAAAGATGCGACGATTTTCGATACAAGGGATTGTTTATGCCTACACCTAAAATTGAAGGCGAAGCACGAACTGCGATCGAAAGCATGAAACATCGTGCAACTTTAGGAAACATATAACTCTAACTAACTAGAAAATCGCCAAATAAAGGATTAAAGCTATATTTAAGTGAAAATACTTAAGCACAAACAAATCATTGGCTAGTAGGCGCTCCGATCTGGTTTTCATTTTTATTTTTTTTTTTTTTTGCACCAACAGTGTTTTACGAAAATTTTTTAAGGAGAGCCATGTAGCGAAATGTTTGAATTCGCCTCTTGTCCAGTGGTGCATTATTTTACAAGCACATTTTTAGGAATGCTAGCGGATTTTTGCTTGACAATTTAAAATTTGCGCTGACTTCGGGGAATTCCTTCCTAGTTCATGCAGGGGTGCATGCAGCCGAGGTTAGCTAACCCGACGGTACAAACGCACAAAGACGTTCCTTCAGCACCCAGCGGCCCAGCGGGGAAGTTTACACACCCGTCGATATTGAAGCTAAACGGAGCGTCAAAGAACAGCCACCTCTTGACTTTCGATTCACCACCCCCATCCCACCTCACCCCCATCACCCGGGAGAAAAGTCGAATGCGTCTCGCTCGTTTGACGGATCAAAAAGGCGTTAAGCAAAAAATCCCCCGCTATCAATCGGAAGCAAACACAGCTCGCATTAGAGGGATTCATTTCGGAATAGTATACAGAGTATATTTACGATCAAGGCGGCTGGAAGAGTTGAAGGGATGACGAAGTGCGGAGGGATGGAAAATCAGACGGAGATAGATTTCAAACTAGAAGAAAACCCCAGAGGGAAGGAGACAGAAAATACGCGCGAGGAGCGGGCGCGAGAGAGAGACGACGAGCTGAGAAGGAGGGATGCTGGGCTGGGCAGGAGGGAAAAAAGGAAAGAGTATAAGACGGGCCGGGCAGGATCAGGGTCTGAATTCAGAACGTTTGCTTTCAATGGCGTAATTTCATTTCAATCCTCTGTAATTTGAAAATCGATGCAACCCCCTCCCCACCGCCCCCACCCCTTATAGTCTCGAATATTTACATGATAAATTGAATAAGCTCTCTCCATACAATCCGGCCAGAACAATAGCCTTAACTTTTACTTCATTATCTAAACAGTTTCTTTTTCCGTCTTTTCTTCAGCCAGCTTTCTTCCCTTCCCTCTCGGTTTTTCACCGCCCCTATCTCCCTCCCTCCTCTCCTCCCCCAGCCTCTTCCTTAGCTCCGGCTCCGATCATCTTGCCGTCCCTGGAAGTCAACAGTTTTCTTTTTCTTTCTATTTTTTCGGCCGCGACGTTAAATTTGTTTAATCCGCTTTGCCCAATAAACCAAATGCGCTCTGTCACCCTCAAGTGATGCCAACGGTACCAGTCCAATCAAACTTATATGCGCGCTATTAGTATTGCGTCCCAGAGAGGCCATACAGATCGATTTGTTCTCATTGATAGTATTAGAAGGGATTATGTCATTCTTATTGTTTGGATTCAATTTGATGTAATGGAGTGCATTTGGTGACGTCACCATCAATAGCATCTGTGGCAAGTGGATACCTGTATTGGTAAATTTTAATGTTTTCGATGCAAGGAAAGAAATTGATTTTATACCCATCGACCCTGCGATTTTTCTTCAGCCTCGCTAAAGTTTGAACTGTTGGAAGGAATCGTGGGGTGAATTCTACTGTGAAATTACAAAACTCGATCGTGGCATCCTAAAATTTCGTCTTCTTTTTACTTTGAGATAATGTTACAGTACATTTTTGCATGAAATTAACGGAGAATATTCGTAGAAAAAGAAAAATCACACGCAATTTCGTCCAATCAATAACGAGTACCACGTGCTTCTCTGAAACGTAAAATATGGACGGCGTTTAGCAAGGAACTAAGCCACGATAGCTATTGCGGATTTTAATTGAGCAATTAAATTTTTTACTCGAGATCATTTGTAAGCCCATTTGTTATACCTTTGAGGAATTGGCCTCGTATGTAGAAAATTCAATAAAATGTGTAAAAAAAATCCGCACAACCTTTTTCATGTAAAAAATTATATTGCCCAATTAAATGTAAGCACAAAAACACAAAACTCGATCGCGGCATTCTAAAACACCTCCTTTTTACTTTAAGATAAATGAAACAGCTGATATGGCTTGGTTCCTTATTTTTGCTTAACGCGATCCAAATGTACTATGGGAAAGCTTCAACATCACAAACTGAGATTGGTGGTTTTGAAGTTTCACCATCAAGTTGTATCCAAATATCCAACTGAGGCTCATAAAGTGTCAACCCAGCATGCAAGGCATGAAAAATAATGACTAGACCAGGAGAGCTTTAAGTAATTACCATCGCGGTATTTAAAAGTTTTAGCGCATTTTTTTTCTTTTTTTAAAAAAAAATATTATTTGATATTTTTCCATGAAGTTTTTGAAAATATTCTAAAAAGGGATGAAAGTTCCAACCATATCTTCGTGCAATAACTATGATCTTCCTCCAGATATTTGACATAAGACAGGAGGTCGGCCGAACAACTTCCCTAACCAAAATAAGCGTTTTTTTCTATTTCACTTGTAATGATGACTGACCCTGAAAGGTGTGCAAATAGAAAATATGGGATAAAAAATTCAGTTTAACACGATGGGAGTGAAAAAAAAAGTGAAAATCGAAAAATCTCGAGGGTAATCAAGACAAGATCTCCGGAATTGATGGGCACTGATTGAAAATTCACTTCGAAACTATATGCATGAATGAACTTCCACTGATATTAAGGACAATGATACATGATAAAGTAGAAATGAAACGATGTAAATATTGAATTATAAACTACAAGGGAAATGTGAAGAAATGTGTTGTTTATATTATCTTTGGAGGAGTTTGCGTAATTTTTTAAAACATTTTCACCGGTAATAACTGTCTGGACAATTGAAACAGAATTGCAGTGATTCAATTCTTAATATGAAAAGCTGACATAAGCACCAATGCTCTTACAACAAAGTCGTCAACTGAACCTAATCCACGAGCCTTTTAAATTAATTAGATGTTGTTGTTTCAGATATCACGCTGCATGACGCAATCGAATAACGTAAGCATGAATTAACACTCGTTTGTATTCATGTACAATAATAAGAAAATAGAGGAATGAATAGAACTAGAAAAAATGACGAGTGAATAAAAATATTAAATAGCTAAGGTTTAAAAGAAATTGCTTCATGGAGCGATAAATAAGAATTTTTCCTCATTCCTAAACTATCAACATACGGCATANGTAGCCGTGAGAGGGGTGTGTATTAAGCCTTAAACATCATTTAATTATACGTTTAGGAAGTAACTTAAAAGCACTCATTGAGAATTCTTTACTAGAACTGGAGAGGATGAAGGATACATTTTAAATGGAGGCTGAGCTGCACTTGAACCGATTTAATACATTGAGGAGGGAAAAGCATAGCGACGCAGATGGACACATACAAAAATCCGCAAATATAAATTTAAAATGTAAACACTAATATAATTTATTCCGCAGACTCGAAACCGTGAAAATTAAAGTAGGTAACAGGTTAACACACATAAAAAATCTGACTTTATGATCCTGCAAATTCTTCGCCTATGAGTTGCTTTCCTAATACGGTGGAATATTTTGGAATATTTAGTATGAACTTAGTTCTCGTTTTTCATTGAGAAGTAAGAATATGATATGGGGTTTTTCATTGTTTTTGTATCTTTTATTTCTCGTTTTTGGAGCCTATAGATTAAGTTTTAGTTCTTTGTTTCCCAGTAATGTAGTTTTGAAAGGTTTTATTTAGCTAGAAAAAGCGGCATAATTTTTCCAACAGTGGACGTGATTTCTTCATGAATTTTCTTATTTTATAGATTTATTTTTTCTTTCCAAATTTGAACTTGTCTCTCGCACAACCAGGCGGTACAACTTGTTCGATCAAGTCACGTAAGATGATTTTGACTTTATGCGATCAATCGATTTTCAATTTAAAATTTTTTTATTTCAATGAGTGATGCGTAATAGAACCCTCACTGCTAATACAGTTATTCGGAATCAAAATAAAGACGCTAAAGCGTATATGGGCGGGCGAGAAAAATCATTTAAGTATGTTGGATTTTTTTTTTTTTTTTCAATATAACATACTGTCTTACGACCCGTGCGTCTACCGCAATCAGTTGGTGAAAAATCTTCACCGTCATCTCAATGAAAAGTCGCTGGTGTTCCGTCCAGAAACATTTTTAACACAGAATTCGAATTTTGTATCTGGATTATTTATGTGCGACAGATATACTTATAAAAGAAAGTTTAGAAAAACTACTTTGTTCCATGCTGAGAACCAACTATATAATGTTTCTAATTTTCATAAAAGCACATTTTTTTTTCAATTATTTTTGCCTAAAATAAAACTAATGGGCTTGGAGGACAAGGCGGATAAGTGCGCAGTTTTTGAAATTTTGAGAAAAGCGTGTTAACATGTTCAATATTGCATGGAACCTCCCGGTGGGGAGAAAGTTCAAGCTTCCGTTTTGATGCTTAAAAATTGGATTGTACTATTGAATTTTTCACAAAGTATATTTCAAGTCTAGTTTTAATTGGAATGTTTCAGAAATTGCACGTATGCGCACTGTTCTCGAAACCCCTTAAATTATTAAGGATGTTATACTGTGACGATTATCGGTGACGTATTTTCTTTATCTATCTTTATTCCAAAGTAGGAATTATTTCAAACAGGCAGAAATTATTAAGGAAAGAAAAAAATCTTCATTTTTTGAAACGGAACCATCTTTTTCACTTAAATATTCCTCTACCGATTGTGAAATATAAATTCTTCAGCATCTTATTTCTTCTCGTCTGCGTGTTTCAGCTTAAAATTCGATAAAATCCAACTAGTATAATGAAATTTTAGTAATAGGTAGAAACATGTATGAGCTTGATGGAATAAACAGAGGACGTATTGTGCCTTATAGGGCGAATTCTCTCGGATTACTCCTAAAAACAAGAGATAGAAAGTGCGAAAAATAAATAAAATCACCCAACTCTCATCACTTGATTTAAAAATCGAAATATGAGAGGCTAAAAAATATAAACTTTTAAAATACTTTTATCGTTGTCACGCTGTTATCGAAGGCTCAAGGATTCATTTAATGATTGTGTCAAGTAAAACTACTTACTTAAATCAGAATTTCTTAGTTATCAATAGTTCAATTTTAATTTTATGTAAACAGAATAAAAAAGGAAATCCTACTTTTAGGCTATTTGTGTTCCAACAATGATATATATTTTTTAGAATGTTTAATTTTTTTAAAAAAAAAAATCAACACAAAATTTTGGAGAAAAGTGCGAAACTGAATGTAAAGAAGTTTTGAGATGAGATGTCAAAGGAGTGCGACAACATATTTAAGAAAATAAATTCAATCCTATTTAAATAAAGCAGTTTTCAAGTTTTTCTACACATTTACTTATGCATCCCTATTCCATAGGTCAAGTACTCTTAAAGATTGCATTTAATTTTCTCTGATATCCTATTAAGCTCATTCGTTTACTTACTAAACTTTTTAGTAATATACTAAGAAAAAATTAATCTTCAAATCCTATTAGCGAATTTCACATGTTTGTTCTTTTTTGAATTTAATATGTGGAGTGGAATTGTTTATAGCTTTGTCTATAAATTTATTAAGGTATGCTCAAAAGATACAGTAAATACATGCGATCTATTTTTTTCCATTTGCAAGTGGAATTGAATTGAATTGTATTGATGAGTATCACGGTGAACCGAAAAAGAGCAGAAAACCTAACCTAGCGGGATACACTGGCATAGCCCGGTTATTTTTGGTCTGAGTCAACAACTCGTCTAATATTTAATTCAAATCCTTTCATGAACTAACGTACGTACAAACCTCTTCTAGACTGAAAAAGTGTTTTTCATTATTCATTTAATTTATGTATCCGGAAACAAGTTTCAACGTTTCATCAACTTCAGAAAAATTTTATCGGGTAGATTACAATTTTTCCGCGGTTCAAACATTGTCGACCGCGGTATTTTTTTCTTTCTTTTTCCCCTCGTCGCGTCAATGGAATTTTCGAATATTTCATCGTGACGCTAAAATATAGCTTTACTGAGTAAAAATTTGACAATAGTTAGTCTGTCATAGAAAAAGAAAATTTCGAAAAAAAAAATGTCTTTCAAAATTGAGCCGAAAAAATTGTTAGAAAAAAAATGAATTCACTAAATTCATAAAACTAAAATTATTACATTTTGACGTGAGTCCCCCCCCCTTAACTTCATTACTGGTCTGAATTTAGGTCATCATATATGAGCTTTAAAAAATCACTGGAATCCGTTGAAATTTGTCAAACATACTAAGCACAAGATTGATTTGGACTAATGAATGAAAAACTTGCAGTTGCAGGAATTTGAAAATGGTTGAACGCTGTCTGATAATCTTAGAATCATACATGTGAACTAATTTGAGGAATTCTGTTACCTCCGGTGCAAAAATAATAATACGTTTTGGGAAATTGTAAAACCTTTCGAGAATTCCAAGTGTGTAATGGCAATAAAGCTCAAATAGTTGAGTTTCACTTTAATTTTGCTCAAAATTCTACCTTATCCGCAACCCATTTCCCTCTAACACGAAATAGACTTTGACCAAATTTTGCACCAAGGAAAAGAAGAAAAAGAAGAAATAAACTTTTGCACGGCGCGATATTATTTCAAAAATGGAAATTAATATTTCAAGGGTTCTACGGAAATTCGCTTTTCTAACATCACTAGCATGCTTGACAATAATTCATAGTTTGCAGTGTCATGTCAAATTATAATACCGATTTTTAATTTTTTTTTCCTGCAAGTAAATTTTTTCTCCCGACTGCTAATGTTTGGGTCACCAGCTGAAACGTCCCAGTTTTGTTCTTGATTACTTTTGACCGCGTTTCTCGTTTGTTTACTTGGTTGGTTCTTTATCTCCCTCTCATTGTCGTTGGCTGCTTTGTTTAAAATTGTACCGCATTATTCCCTTAAGAGACTCAAAATATTTTGTCGATAGGGAAAGTCTAAAAATGGGTATCCTGAATTACAAACGTCACGTCGTAAATTTCCCTTCTTTTTTAAATTTGTATTTATTTATTTATTCATTCATTTTTTAAAGAAACCCAACGAAGAGTTCTCCTTGAAATTCCCTGAGAATCGTCTTCATTCGTTCAGAGATGCACTCAAAGAAAATTTCAATCGGATATTCCAGTTACTTTTCTTTGACTCACATTTAAAAAGGAAGTACGAATAAGATTTTGAATGAACTGCGGAAGGAGAAATGACAGGACAACACAAATAAACTACCAATCTGAGACGCCTATTTTTTTTTTTTAACAAAGGACCGAAAATTCAAAAAATTCTCGTTCTCCTAATGCATTGTTTAAAGGCACGTTGTCTCTTAATACCTTTATAAATTTATATTAATTTAATTTAACTCTCATAGATAGATGCAAGGCATATAGTTCTTGCAGCATATTTCAAAATAAATTATGTTATGAAAAAAAATTGAAATGGGAGATTTTGAATCGTTGCTATGCAGATGGACTTTTTTGGAGTTTAACTCTGCCTTTAAATGGAAAATACTGGGAATATGGTGCATTTAAGGTGATGGGGACTTTTTGGAACGGGAACCCTATGCACATACTTCCTAATTTTGTTTTAAAAGAAATTTGAAATGGGATATTTTGAATCGTTGGGATGCAGGTAGACTGTTTTGGAGTTTAGCCCTGCATTTAAATGGAAATAATTTGGGGATGAGATGGAGTTGGAATCGGGTGTATTCATGCTGATAGGTACTTTTTGGGACGGGGACCCTATGCATATAGTTCCTTTCCTCTTAGGATAAATATAAATATGTTGAATTAAAAGAATGCGTGGGGACTGACCTGTTTTTGGCGGCAGCTGCTCTGTCCCTTTGGCGTCGATTTTTAAACCAATTCCCGACCTGCGTGGGCGTGAGCCCAGTGGCCTGGGCCAACTCCTTCTTCTTGGTCGGGTTGGGATAGGGGTCCTGGAGATACCACTCCCGGAGGAGGCTCCGGGTCCGCTCCTTGAAGCAATGGGTCTTCTGCTCGCCGTCCCAAATCGTCCGGGGCAGCGGGAACTTTTTCCGCACTCGATACTTATCCACAGGCCCGAGCGGCCGGCCCCGGAGCTTCTCGGCCTCCTGGTAGTGGGCCTCGAGCCACATGGCCTGGAGCTTCCCGTGGGAGTCTTTGGTGAACTTGTGGTGCTCCAGGATGGAGTACATCTCGCGGAAGTTGTGGCTGTGGAAGGAGACGATGGCCCGGGCCCGGAGGACGGCCTCGTTCTTGTTGAGCTCGCTGATGTTGGGGTGGGCGACCGGGAGGGACCAGAGGAACCTGGCGAGGCGCTCGATGTCCCCGTTTTCCTCGAGGGTCTCGCAGACGGTGGCCACTTGGGAAACGGTGAAATTTAACGTGGGTAAGGCGAACATGGGGCTGGGGATGATAGGGTGAACAACGCGACTTGGGATCGGCATGGGGATGGGGACCGGCGAGGGCGAGAGCGAGAGCTCCCGCTCGGCCGAAACACCCGCGGTCGCGCCCGGAGGAGCCAGAAGCGGCGTCGGCGTGCCTAGACCTAACGCCATCCGGTTGAAATCCAACTGTGGATCATAACTGTATCCGTGACAGCGTCGCAGCGAGCCTCCCAGCGCCCCGCCTTGATTGGCCGATCCGTGAGCCGTCGCCATGGCGACGACCAATTGCGTGGCAGCGGAAGCCCCCGTGGATAGGTTACAGCTCATGCACAGCCCCGCTATGGATACTCCGATACCACTACCGCGCGGGAGGGGTATGCAACCGAGGCCCAGCGCCCGCCCCTCGCCCCCTCCGCTCCCGCCGCCCGCGTCGCATCCTCTCCCGTATAAATCACATGCAACTAATGATGCCAGCCACTCGGCCCTCTCCGCCTTTTAATCCCCCCCGCGACTCGGGCCCCCGACCGAGGGGAAATCACGCCGTGTCTACAATCCCCCCTCTCCGCCCGGATCGAAAGAGTACAACTTTAATCATTACACTGTTCGCACTTCTCATTGCAACCACTCTCGCCGGAATCCGATGTGGGGTTTATTCCGAGTTAAGCGAGCACCGGGGGCCACAAGAACCCCCCTCCCTGCTCGTTCGCCCCCCCCCACCCCCTGCAAACACTTTTCCGCCGTGCCTGCACCTTTAATTCTGGCTTTTAATCCTGCTTCCATTTTTCTAGCCACTTTCGTCGGCGAATGCGAGGTTTCCGCCATAAGCATCCACGCTCGCCCGGCCGGGTTCCAGGTCTCCGCGAATGGTGCAAGTTTTTAGCAGTAGCGCGGCATGAATTTCGATATATCCATTATTATGCCATTTAAACCTATGGTAAAGAATCGATTATTAAGGCGTTCGGTGCGAACACCCTGTCTATCGATCCTTTTCCATAGGTTAAATGGCACAACAATCGATAAATCGCAAAGCACGCCACGCCACTGGTTTTTAGGTGCTCTGGGGATGCTATAATACGTAACGATTTTTTTACGTATCTTCCTATTTTTTATCACGTGACACGTAAAAAAATGGCGTAACGCTGTCTTCTACCTCCCCTCCCTCCAAGAGCGTTACGTATTTTATGAGTGGACCCTTTTAGAAAACCTCTTTGAGCCCCCAGCGCGGTGTTGCTTCGAAAAATTCCACCTTAAGACGCGTTGCCCTCAGCAACGATAGGAAAATTTCACGACAGTTAAAATTGTCAAATTCCACGGGAGATGTTTCCAAAATTTGGAAGATTCGTTTCAAATTGCGTAGAGCCAGCCTCATTTCAAATTCCTTCGATTTTGTTCGTGGACATCGTCCAAAGCATATTCAACACTAATTTTTCACATGAAAAATTGAGAATTACATGCAAACTACCAGGATGTGCATTATTTGATGTCTCTGAGCACGAATTATGCGCACTATGCATCTGAAATAATAGTTTCATTTTAAAGCCCTGTTAAAGTTTATTAAATATTTCACTGAAATGTCTCATGTCTCATACCACCCTTGCTTCACTCACCCCACCGCTGACAATATAAACACCATTGCTCGACCTTTGAAAGCCTTGGAAGTTCGTTGAAACAGCATTAAAGTCTCTCACATACCATTATCTAATCGAAGACACGGACCTTTAAAATGTTGGATCGAACCTCCTTTTCAGTTTGAAAATGCGACGACTTTTTATATTTTCTTTTTCTTTTTTTCTACAGATTTCCTAATAAAATAATAAATTATGATCGGAGATTTGCAATCAACAATCGACAATACGCTTTTGTCGACTTAAGCTATTAAAATAACATGTGTTTCCTGGTTATAAAGTCAGTGCACTGTTCAAAATAATGATTTTGTACAACATTCAAGCATATTTTTCCTTGCAATTTTCAGATATTATAGATTAAATTGCGTACAAAATGGAGATGTTGCATGTGTGAGAAATTTGCAATTTGACTAATGATGATTATGTAAAAGTTGGCGAGAAACACGATGGTGTCACTGGTTTTCTCTGAAATCAACTCCCAAGCTCAAAAAAGCTCTCAAGTTGAGACCAAAATGGAGCCGATATCCTGCACCATCCTGAGAGTCCACGTCTAGATCAAGACAAACTCTCCATGCAAAGATAGGGAGCAAATACATTGACAGGGCTGCCACTTTATTTGGGGACTCTAAAACTAAAAACACGGCAACCCTGCGAATGTATTTGCTCCCTATCTTTGCATGAAGAGTTTGTCTTGATGTAGACGTGGACTCTCAGGGTAGGGTGGGATATCCCCTCCATTTTGGCCTCAACATGAGAGCTTTTTTTGAGCTTGGGAGTTGGTTTCAGAGGAAACCAGTGGCACCATCGTGTTTCCCGCCAACTTTTACTTAAGAATCAAAAATCAAATCGCAAATTCCTCACACATGCAACATCTCCAGTGTCTGAAAGTTTTGGGGGAAAATATTTACAATTTCCTCAGTAAAGTCTGTTTTTTTTTATGGAAATTCGGCAACGTCTGAGCGCTCATACGGCGTTCTTCCTTAGCACGGCAGCATTGGAGAAACGTGGTCCGATTCCGATATTGGAAACGGCGCAGACAGATTGGCGACACCGCGAGACCAGGACTACCAGGACACCGCACAGTCAGCGGGAGTAATAATAATGGTATTAATGGTCCGCGCGACAAGGTATTGTGAGTATGTCCGAGTGACGGGAGGCGATGCCATTTCTAGCATAAAATTGGTATCTTTCCAGGTGGGATATTGCAAATGGATTCGGAGTTGGACTTCCCACCTGCAAGCAGCATTTAAGTCCGAGGTTGCCAGATTTTCTGTAAAAGTTCTCTTCGTTTCACATGTCATTGATGAAGAATAGTTTTGTATCGGTCACCGCACCTTCCATTGAGCCATTGATTAGTAAAAGATCCTCCTATCCTGACAATTGGAGTATTTTTGCTGAAAAACCTACTACGCACGAATGAGTTAAAAAACTTGTAACTACGTACGAAGAATTTGTGCAAGGCTCAATAGTTCCTTTTCACGTGGCAAAAACGACTTTGTGTAGGAGATCAACACAAGGAGGGAGGTCAATTGGTGTTACCTACCTTTCTAAGTATAGGCAATTCGCAGTGCAAAAAAATCGCATCCTGTATCGCAATTTTAGTGCGATACAAAAAGCGATAAGAGTAGAGTCGAAGTTAACTTGATTTCATCTTCAACATAAGAACAGGAGGATGATTATCGAAGTATATATAGACGAAGCTATGGACAAAGAAGATAAAAGGAAAATGGAGCTATCCAATCGGTTGAAACTAGTGGTTCCTATAGACTAAGAAAAACATGATGAACCCAGAGTAAGGTCTCTCGTGGGTTGCAATTAGTCAGTCTGTTACTTACCTCCTTCGTCCATCGCAACCATAACCATCGACTTACACCAATACGACTGCTTCATTGTCTATAGCTTTATCTATCAATTTCAATAAGCAGCCCCTAATTATCATTCATTTCATCAGCTAACAGTCTGCTTTCCTCCTCTACATCCACGTGCGCTCTCTCAATGAGGCGCCACTCAGTCTGACCGACATGTTATTCCAAGCAGACAAATGGAATTTTATCTGAATTTTGGCATCCATGCGATGGGAATTCCACCAAACTGTCTAGTGAGGTCGATTCCTCCATCGACCTCGGACGAAAGAGTGGAGGACCTGCTAAACAAATCGATTGTTCACTCTCATTCGGTTATCCGTGATCGGTGGACCGCACGCGCTCGGCGTTTCGTTGGATCCGTGTTTCACTTACCAATAACACACTCCTACCTGCATCTGCATCCTGACAATCCCGATTCTATGTTACTGGCAGGCATTAGCGGATCCAGCAATTTGGCAACACCGGATTTCCTACATTTAAACCTATGGAAATGTATCGATTCTTAGAGGGGCCTGGTGCTCCGACAAGAATCGATTATTTAGCATGGATTTAAACGGATGAAATCCGGTGTTGCGAAACTGCTGGATCCACCTCTGCTGGCAGAGCGCCTGCAATTCACGAAATTTTCGGCTCTTCCAGGGAGCTGATTATTGGCATTGATATACAGGGGGCTGATTATTAAAATTGATAGACAAAGCTATAGACGAAGAAGACATTGAGAGTATTCGGCGACCCTATTGGTGGAAGCGGGTGGTTGCAAAGGAACAAAGGAGGTAAGTGATAGACTGACTAACAGCAACCCACAAGAGTTCCTACACCAAGTCCATCATTTACCTCTTTAGTCTATAAGAACCACCCGTTTAAACCTATAGGGTAGCCCCATGCTCCGTATGTCTTCTATGTCTATCAGTTTGTCTATCAATTTCAATGATCAGCCCGCAGAGAAAGGGGAAATGGAGCAATCCTACTGATGAAAGCGGGTGGTCAGAATGGACGACAGAGGTAACTAACCAACAGCAATCCAAAGGAGACTCTCTCGTTGGTCAATCATTTTCTCCCTTAGTCTATAGCAATCACTTGTTTAGGATGCCCAAACCCATAGGATCACTCCATTCTCTCGTCATCTTTGTCTATCGCTCTATCGCCCAGGTTAAGTTCCGGGGATCGTCACATTTTATCAAAGAATCATAAATTTGATTAAATAATCGGTCAAACTGACAAAGAACCCCAAAATTCCGAGAAAACTCAAAAAAATGCTGGAAATTTCGAACAAAGTTGGGAGAAATTACAAAAGTTTCGAAATTCGGAATCAATTCCAGGAAATGGCAGCACTAATGGCAGCTATCGAGGTTTTTGGTTTTTTTCGGCGTGCTAAGGAAGAACGCCGTATGAACCTTTAGACGTTGCCATAATTTTTCAAGAAAACCGGAATTTACGGAGAAAATTGTGAATGTTTCCCCTCAAATTTTTCGGTCAATTTTGTCCACGATTTAATCTAAAATATCTGAAAATTTCAAGTAAAAATATACGTAACTTTTCTCAAAATTACATGTTTAATTCGAGGAAATTTGGCAACTCTCGAATGTTCATGCGGCGTTTTTCCTTAGCACGACAGAGCACCGAAAGAGCTGTCGAAATAATCGAGTCTTTTTCTTGTTTTCTCAAAACTTGACTTTTGGCGGTTACGTTCCTCTTTAAATAAGCCGTTCATTC